CCACCACAACATATCATGATTCTTTCGCCGGCCGCCACTAGACCACCGCCGTCATTGGCCGTCGTCGCCTCCAGCCCAAGATTCGTCTCCACCACCCGGTCCCCAACAGCCCGGCCATCTCCACCGGCCATGTCATCACAGCCACATCCGGTCCCAACAGTCTGGTACAGCTTCGCCGTCTCCCGCGCTTAGTCGTATCCGACAAAGAAGTCCGCCGTCGATCTCCGGACACCCTCGGGGTGGTCGCGACTCGAAAACTTCTGCCGATAATCGCCGGAGAATGAGTAGTCGACTTGATTTCTGCAATCTGCCGTTCATGTAACACCGACGCGGCAAGATGGCGATGTGACATCCGACGTCCATGTTGTTCCCAGTCTGCGGCGGCGGCGGCGGATTGTACGTCGGTGGCGACAAAGATTAGCGGTGTGTGGTAAATCCTGTGGAGGTGTTAATTAATTGATTTGGGGCTTTTCAAAAGAAAATTAGATAGTCTATAAGGACCATTTTGCAATTTTTGAATTTGTAATACATTTGTAATCTTTAGTGCTTTTTTTAATAAATGTGTAAAATGTTGTGTATTGTGCTTTAAAGGTAATAATAGTTAATCCGAATAAAATTTAAAATTTTGAATTGAAAATTTGGATATAATGTGTTTATTTTGTCGGTTAACATAAATAATGAAAATAACCGACATAAATTATATTATTTATTAAAAAACATGATTAGTATATAATATTTATTTTTGTATAATATTTTATATATTTTTTGATTAAACATATTACTATATATAAAACGAAATATAATATGCAATCTAACAGTTATTAAGGTGCAATTCATCCAACAATATGGTGCACGATGTCTGTATGTATTGTGCAGATTGAACCAACAAACTTTTGTACCAATCAAATTGAAATGAACATAATCAATTGGTTTATTATGTTTGTTTAACAGAATTATTCTAAATTATTGAAATAATTTGTTATTTATATTAAAATTATATTTCATATGTTAATAATTTTATTCATTATTTTTGTATAATTTTTGCTTAAATAAAATTGAGTTCAGTTCGTTTCATTCTCTATGCGGTGGATCTTGTAGTCGTGATAAAGTGCAGCTGTTATATGATAAAGTGCAATCTAGCAGTTATTGATGTGCGAATCCTCTAACATAACGGTGCACTGAGTCGGCCGATATTGCGTATATCAATTCGAATGAAATTTTGTCCCACATTAAATTGAAACCAAACTGAAATATATAGTTTATTTGGTCGTCGACTGAACTATCTTAAATAATTGAAATAATTTATTATTTATATAAAAAATATATTAAAGTATGACACTATTTTTATTTATTATTTTTAAAGTGCACCGTATTGGTGTATAGAGTGCAACGTGTTGATATACAAAGTGCAATACTGAAAGTTTGGTACGTTAGCATGCTTGTGTTTTTTGTATATATATTATGTGGTGGATATTAAATTATTATGTAGATATGCCTTTTTAACTTTATCTGGCGTAATATTTTAGCGTAAGTTGTTGACTTTAATTGTATAGTGTGTAATAAATTGCAACGTGTCATGTGTTTTATAAAGTGCAATGTTTTGTTTTATAGTGTGCAGCATGTTGTTATATAAAGTGCATACTTTTATACAGTGTTCTAAAAGTCGCTAGGCGCCCGCTAGGCGCTCGACCAGCGCCTAGCGCCTAGGCGGGGCCTAGGAGGCGCCTAGTCGGGGCCTAGGCGGCGCCTAGTCGGGGCCTAGAAATCAATATTAAATACCTTATTTTTTATTTATTTAACTATAACAAAATACAAGTATCTCAACTTATAATAAATCGACACACCAAAGTCCAAATAATAATAATAATATATTTTAAAGAAAACATGAGAACAAAATAATGTAATTAGTATTTAAAAAAAAAAA